GTTCTCAATATCCTAGTAGCCCTTCAGTTCATTTAAGCAGGGACTTTCCACCTCTCTGTCTTTTAAGAGATACTCTGTCACTAGGCATTGGCATCCTTTGGGACACTTCTGCTTATTCCTGTTAAATTATCATTGAAAGACAGAGAAATATTGTTGCAAAGAGGAGAAAAATATTCTGGCTTTTAAAGATCTCAACAGAATTTTCTTATTGATTTAAAAGATTTGATAAAGCTGACAGAGTACAGGCAGGTGAGTTCTATTCACTGAACGTGGTCTGCCTCCTGCTCCAAACTTAACACAAAGAAATGTCAGCCCAGTTTTATAGCAGTATGATATTTAATCTACTCCCTGACATAGCTTTAATGCTGGAAGCACTGAGACTCAAAATGCTGAATCTTAACATTAAATTAGCTACTACAGGGTTCTCAAACTATGCTCTTGTGACTGGTGACTCAGAAATCTTCTCAGAGAGCCTGAAGAAATTTTTATTTATTTATTTATTTATTTATTTCCCCAATTAAACAGTAGTGAGCAAGGAGTTATTACGGAAGGTGTGCCGGGGAAGAATCTGTCACGGTCATCTCTAAGTCAGGAGGGAAACATTATACAAGCACTGCGTTTTAAAATATATATAATGTGCTAGCACTCACTAGTTTAATAAACACTTTTTTACCCCTAAAATGGTGCTACACCATTGCAGTGGGAGCAAGAGAGCTGCTAGGTCTAGCAATTCTGTCAGGATCATTTGGGCACTCAGAGTTGGTGAGCTCCCCCCCGGGATTTCCCAGCACCGTGGACTGGATGTGTTGATAGCACACCGTGATGCCAGGCTGCATTCTTCCTTCCGATTGTGTCTGGCTCTGCTTTTCTTTTCCTTGCGTGCCCCTTCCTAAATAGAAATGCTGTTCCTAAGCATTTCAGATAGTTGTGTGAACATCACAGAGGGATATTGGAGGTGTTAACAAACATTCATATTCTATAGACTCTGTGTTTCCATATTATTTTACATTATACTACGCTGTGCGTCACTTTGTGGCCATGCATGAGGCACATGCTTCAGACCAAAACAAACATTTCAATAGCTTTGAGTTGAAAACCAGCATTTGTAAGGAAAGGGATTTGTAATGTGATTTAATTGATTTATGTAATTGAAAACCAAAACAAAACTCCACTGTTATGTACTATAAATGACTTCTTTGTCTCTACAAAATTTAATTTGTTTCCGTGCTCTGCAGCTATACTGAGAGAACAGAATAAATGACAACTCCTCTTTGGGCCTGTTTGAAAAAAGAGTCAGGAAAGGGAGGATGAGAGCAGCCAGAGGGTTATGAGAAGGAAGAGATGAGTGCTCAGATAAAAAGCAGCCCAAGGGAAGATTTCAAGTTCTCAGAAAAACAGATCAATAATGATGTTAACTATGCAGCTGCAAATGCAACTATTTGCATTTTGAAACATTTTTCCCTACGACTTCACTATGCCCAGGGTATCTGGAACACTCTGCAATAGATAAATCACCTTTGAAAGGGCAGTATTTTAATGAAAAGTCAAGATCCTAAGGATGCTGCCACATTTTTCAGTACAGGACTACCAGAAACACCAGCTCACCTTCCCTTCCTTGCTTGCTCAGTAAGATGCAAAGATCTGAGACTGTCCTAATTTACAAGAAACTCTCAAACAACTTTCCACTGGTTTTGTCTCCTCCCTTTTCCCTCCCTAGACCTTTCACCCTTTGGTTCCCTTGGGAAAACCATGACGAATTTCCACCTGGAAATTTCAGTCTCAGTGTTAGGTAGTCTATTTTTGTTGTTGTTGGCCTTTCCTCTCCACCCTCTTTCTCTTCACCATATTGAGATGTTTGACAAAGTCAAACAATTCATCGTTGTTTCTATATTTATATCTGGGAAGCTCCCTTTAGCAGCATGATAGCATTTCAGATAGGACAGCTTGACAAAACCAGTAGATAAGAAAGCTCTTAGTACAGAGACCTGGCCTGGGAAAATAAAATATATTTTTTAAAAAATGAAAACAGCCCAAGTGTTCATGCCCAATAAGCACCCAGTAGCTACAGGGGGATTTCTCACCACAGAATAAATGCTGCTTAATGGCTCCACAAAATAAAAGCTATCCTAGACAACACTGTACATCATCTTGCCAGCTTATTGAAACAGAAAGACATAAAGTGGCTTTGTTGTATATTTTGCACTCAGGACTGCAGTGCAATAGGAAAGGCTAGTGCCAAAAGAAGACATGAAGTGCAAATGCAATGAATGAGGGATGAGCGAGTTGAAGAAAGTCAATAACCATTAACTGGAAGGAATAAACTCAAGGGCCAACAAAAGCAGTCCTGTCTAGTTGAATGTATTGGCTGAATGTATTCGAAGTGAAAGACACAGACATGGAGAAGTGAGACCTGAATGCTGATAGTACTTACTGGCAACGTGATGATAAAGTGATGAAGAGAACTGAAATAAGTTAGCAAGGAAGTCCTGAAAAAGAGGGAACTGCAGGAAACTAAAAATGGAAATGAAGACAATGGGTTAAAAAAATGGCTATTAAGTATTTGAAAACAAGTGCAAAAAATAGTAATGGAAACCTGTCTGGGAAAGAAAAAAGTACATCAGAGCACACCAGCATGAAAAAGGCAGACAGAAGCTGTAGCAATAGCTGTTACCTGAAGATGGAAAGTCAAATTAAAGGAAGCAACGGCTTCTCTGGGCTCAAGCCAGAATGCTGACGACTCTGTGCAAGAACAAGTGTTTGCTTATGAAATGATATGAGGAAATGCTTATGGTGTGGCACTGTCCCAAGGAACACTGGTATCAATGTGAATTAAAGCTACACAAAGGCTCTGGAGGAGTGTGGAGTTTAAACTTCAAGTCTTTTCTACTCTTAATTACATTTACATTAAGCATATTATCTTACCTAGAAGGAAAGAAATTACTTTAAGGTCAGTAGTCCAGATGTCATTTTGGTTCAGAAGTATCACAGATCATCTGGTAAAGCAACGATACAATAAGTAGGTGCTTGCTACAGGGAATGACAGCTTGTAAGTCTATCACCTCCAATTCATTAGTCTTGCTCTGAAACTGTACCTCCCAAATTTTGATTTTTATACTGATCTCCACAGCACCCCAGAATTTAGAGTGAAAATATGGTGACTGTGTGCATAGTCTGGGTATCCCAGTTTCATGCACACAGGCCATAGAGGTTTTTTTCATGAAAAAATTTGGGAGGAGTTTTAAAAGTTGACTTTGAAAAACGTTGTCTTTCCTAGGCTATTTCAAAAGACCACTGGGAAGTGTGGCTATACCAATTCTGGAAAGGGTTTATAGTCATGTGAGACTGCTTGAAGCTACTTCCATGGGAGCAGTTTGCTAGTGGGTTCCCTTCTGCCTGGGACTCCATAAGGCATGGAGTATTCCCAGCCATATCCTTGCTGTTGTCTAACCCACCCATAACCCCTCTACACCCATAACCTACAATCCAAACACCTGTAATGCTTGTCAAGGATGTTCCTGATGGGTGATGGAGTCAGCTCTGCAAGCTTTGCCTCCTGCTTGGGGACCCCTCCAAGAGAGTCCTTTGCCAGACCAATAGTGCAGGTTTCCTTTATCACATCCTTCTGTGGGGACAGTATGAAAGGGGTGGAACTGCTCCTTGAGAATTTTCTTCTTTTTGTTCCTTCAGGGGACATAAATACAGGGTTGAGGGGTTTTTTCACTATGGAAATGCCAGCCCCTCCACCTACTGACACACAGAACCACAGCTTCAAAGATAACATTTTTCACTTTCCTTTCCTGCCTTTCTGGCACAAAGGAGAAATCGTGTTTTTTAAAATGCTGTTGGCCTTCAAGAGTGAATTGTCTGAATCTGTTTTCCCGAATTGTTTATTTGAATTCTCAAAGCAACTGTCCTCCAAAAGTAGCACAGATAGTAAAAGCTGTAATAATATCACCCCAGGCATTTCTCTGCATTTGCATTAGTAAAGTTGGTCCTAATAAGTTAGTAATGCACGAAGTCATTCAATGTCAGCACAACCTCAGAAATACGCACAACAGAATAACCTCTAGATTAGAATCATGTTTTCCACCTGATTGTCAAGTTGAGGGATTTCTCCCTCACTACCAAGGGCCATTAAAATCTCTTTTCCACTTGTCCTTTTATCCCTGACTGTGAGGATTCATTTGAAAATACCTTGATGACTCTTATCCACAAAACTTCCTTATCTAACTATATATGAATCACTTTGAAAGGAGCCACATTTCTCTTAGCAACCAAAGAATCAGTCTTAGCAACAAGGCAGCTGGAGAATTTTGTTTTCACAGTTACTCGTGGACAGTACGTTCTGCTTTCCCATGGCATTGCTGTTTCAGTGTTGACTTAATATTGTGTAAGAAATGGTACAAACCAGACGCTTGCTCATAGCAAAGACCTCACTTGCAGGGCAAATGGCAATCTTTCTACCTTTGATGCTGTTTCCTTTAGGAGATAGTGCCAGAGTACTGGCTGCTGGAAAGCTCAAAATTTAAAATTTCCCCATGACAGAAGTACTACAAAGAAATGTGTGAGGAAGCTGACAGCTTCCGAAACCTTGACTTCCCCCAAAGAAACCAGAGTGAAAAATCAAAGTATTAGCTCTAAAGGCTCACATCTCAGCCTCTCCTAATACCTCTTCATGTTGAGAACAGTTAGAAAGGCTGGATATAAGGTGACATATATATTTATTTCCTATATCTTCCTGGAAAGAATAATTTTGGGAGATATATTACAGTAGGGGAAACTGGGAACATCAGAGCAATTGCTATTTTGGTTATTATGTGGGCCAATGTTTTTAGAGGACTGTCGGGGAAGCTTCCTGAGGCAGCAACGCTAAGGTGGCATTTCTGAACAGACCAGTGTTGTAGCAGTTTCCATCTCAGTCCAACATCTGTGTAAGGAAAGGAGTTACCACATGTATTTTGACCTTATTCAGAAATTCAAAGTGCAGGTGGAAATAGTAAATGCACTCACACCTCGCCCATGTTTCATCTCTGTCTCCTCCCATAGGGGCTGCTGACATACTGCACGCTGGTTTGATTCCCTTACTTGTATTCAAATTGAAGACTGAGTCAGATGGAATCCAAGAGCTAATCCTAGATACACTCTCCAACTCTCTACACCTGGATGCTTCTGAAGCTCTAGCTACTGGTGCCATTATTGCCCTGAAGGAGAAGCTCACACACCCATCAGCGGCCATCAGGAGCAAAGCAGCTCGGGTCCTGTTAGAAATTGGGTAAAGGAGAAGAGATCTGTCTATAATGCTTAAGCCCAAGAAAACACTCATTTCATGAGTGAATCAGTGTCATTAGTTTACAGTGGTGTTCCACTACACATTGATACTGCCACATTTCACATGTAAAGCAGTATCAGCCTGAATGCACACACAGGTAGAAGACTTCTAAAAATCATGACTGCTATAAATCACTCAAGAAAGCAGATGCTGATCAGGAAATGTCATTCCTTCTATTTGTCTGAAGTATTGGCAGGGAAATCAGGATTTTTTTCCTGGTACTGCACTGCTGAGAAAAAATTCTTGCATGAGAAATGTGAAAACAAATTCTGTCCGCTATGGAGGGAGAAGCAGGGATTAGCTCCCTTATTTTTTTGGACAACGCTCTCTCTCAAAAAATTTAAGATCCTGGGAAACTTTCAGTGTGATTGAGGACAGAAATAGTTTTCCAACACAGGCTGCTACATACGTCAGTGATGGATCAGAAAAAGCAATCTTTATATTAAATTTGTGTATCAAACACTGGATGAAAGGAGCAACTTAAGTTCACTGTCCTGCAATCATAAAAATGTAATAAAAGTGCTCAACAGATGTCTAGTTTAAAAAGGTCTGCAGATCATGTAGTTTACATACCAGTTGGCACAAAACACTTCCTAATGTCCTGTAACAAAGCGTGGTCTCATGGGAAAAGAGAGGGTAGATAAGATGAGTCATAGAAAGAAAGCAGAAATGCAACTAGAGTATGGACATCAGCTGTGTTCTAGGTCCCTGCAGCAGCTGGGCCATGTTAAATATTCCCTGCATTAGAGAGGCTGGAAAGAGGAAAAAATTGACCCGGGAGAAGAATTAATTGCAGACCCCTAATTTAGGAGGTTTTAAAATCTGTATAGGGTTCAACAGCCAGGTTTATAACTAAATCACTCCCGGCACCACCAGCACATATAACTCTACATCCTGTTCCATGCTGCTGCCTATCAGTCTCCAGTGTGTCATAGAAAATAAAAAGAAAATCCAAACATCACAGAAAAATAGCCTAAAAAATTGACTACACACAGAGGTTAATACAATATCACCAGTACTGAATCAGCAAGGAGATTTAACAGACACCAGGCACAGACAGACATCCTCTTTCTTTTCTTTGTGGCTCGGTAGTGGTGCTTGCCATCTGTCTAACAGTCAGAACATTGTGACTCCAAAGGGAACAGGGAGGAGAACTGTGTCAGCACTGTTGTCATGAAAGAAGGAGGGCTGCAGGGGTCCAGGCATGGGGAGAAGCTGTGGGTAGCTGCATGGTTAGCAGACGCAGCTCAAGAAAGCACCTGAACCATCTTTTCTGCACAGTACTCATCCAGAGGGAAAAATCGTGGTATGTGAAGAAGTTATTCCTGTGCTGGTGAGCCTGTTGGAAGATACAGATCCTGAAGTCCAAGCTAGTGCAGCTGGAGCACTGATGTTTGCTACTGTTAAACCTCAGGGTGAGAGACACTGGCAGATCTGTTGGGATACTTTCTGGCAATGCAATTCTAAGGCAATTTAGTAACAAAACCTTTGCCCCTCCTACCCCCCAACTCCTCAGTTTCTGATAGTGTTAAAGCTCTCCAAGCCATGAGATTAGTACATTTCTTTTTAGCTGTCTTGAGAAACTATTGTTGCTCTCCCACAGTATCTAGGGGGGACACTATATTTCACATTTCATTCTCCTGAAGTAGGTCAAGAAGTGATTTATCTACCCCACCTGCATCACTTCCCTCCAGAGTGCTGCCCCAGAGCAGAAACGTTTTCCATTCAAGTCCAGACCACACAGAGATCCACGTACCTGAAGCCACTCTGACTCACCAGTCCTCAACAGAGGAGCACTGCTTTCTGGAAACACTTTTGTGGTTAGAGGCAGTTTCTCACAGCTGGGAGAGGCATGAATATTAATAAGGTCTGTAGTTCTCCCAAGTAACTTACATGACACTGAAAATACTAACTGCTAAATTTTCAGTGTGATGAATGAGTAATTAGACATAAAAGACTCTTAATAACAGCAGTTGTGTTCCAGGCCTCCTCTGCAACTGCCCCCCTGGCTTCCAAAGACAACACAGCAGTGGATCCCAGTGTTTGAAGTGTTTTTAAAATTAAAAGAATAGAGGATGTTCTTAAGGGCATCTCAATCCCCCCCCCCCCCCCAGTAGATTATCGTATCATTTGGTGCCTCATACATTCTTAGATAAATGAAATCATAATGTGAAAGGCAGATAAAGTTACCTAAGAAAGATCTTTTTCTTTAAAAATAAACAGCTGGCAGCTAGCCTTAGTCTTCAAAATAAAAGCATGTCCTACCTCTTTGCACTGTACCCTCTGGGGTGTTCAGAGCTGGAGCTGGACAGGGAGTAGAAAGCAGCAGTTCAAAAGCATGTTGGTTATATGTAATAAGATAATTTAAAAGCAGTTTATTTCTCTACAGGGAGATTCTCAGCCCTGGGTGCTGAAGCCATTCCACCTTTACTGAAGTTGGTTGCTGAGGAAACCAGCAAAGCCCGTCTGAGTGCAATCAAAACCCTCAGTATGCTGGCTGAGCTACCAGAGGGCCGCAAGACACTCCTAGACCATACAGATACATTTCAGCAGTGTCTGAACGATCCTTGTGAGGCAGTGAAAAGAGCTGCCAAAATTGCCATCAGTGTCATCAAATGGAAACCTTGCTGAAGACGTGATGTTTCATAGAGATCTATTGCCCTCTGTTGTTCTCTGGCTGTAAAAGTTCCATGATTATATGAGACCTTCAAAAATGAAACTCTCTTCCTCTGTTACTCTGGATCAGTTCCTCCTGAAAAGTAATTTGCCAACAGTTTCAGTTGCAGGTCACAAGCAGAGTAACAGGGAAAAAGAAAAGTTAGGAAGTTTAGAATTCTCCACTAGGAGTTATTTCCTGAGTTATCAAGATTTCCTGTGATACAAGAAAGCAGTCATTTTTGGTTTCTTCATAATGGTCTCTCCTTTCTGTGTTTTTTTCTTTTTTGAAACCTCAGCCTATCAAACACTAGTCAATAACTAATTATATTAGAAAGGTTCATAATTAACCTCTCCTGCAATCCAGCCTATGCTGAGAAATTGACCTAACAACCGGAATTTACATGAGTTTTGGTTCAAACATTTGTTGAACATGAGATAAAACCATTTAGAGCATTGTCACAGAAAAAGCAATGGCCACGTCAGAGAAGTGCTTCCCCGAGAGAAACCGTAGCTGCAAAGAAGCTGCATCATCTGTACACAGGTTGTTTGTCAGGGCAGCTTTTCCACTGCAGAAACCCACTGTCACACTGCAAACTGCAATACCTTATACAAAGTGTAAACTTACTCTGTAGGAGTGATTAAAGTTAAAATGTTTCTCTTCCATAACCTAACCAAAGGGTGAATTTCCTCCACTATAAAGATGTGATTTAAAAGTATTGAGTCAGTTGGATTCATTCCCTCTGGGCAGGATCTTGGAGGAACTCTGCCTTTTAAACACACTTGACGTACATAAAGTGCTCATACGTAATACCTATTGGTGCCCGAGTGCATCAGTCTCGATAAGAGAGAGCCAGGTGGTTTAATAACATGCTAAATGTTCAGTAAAGGCCTAGGGAACAACAGATTTGCTTTTTTCTCATCAATTCCTTGGCACTATTACACCTAACAACATAAAATATATTTCAATCACAACAGCAATTCCTTTGGGCTCTATTGACCATGTCCTGCCTATATAAACACTGAAATTCTAAGTCTGCATGCAGAACAGCCATGAACCAGTATTAATTTATTTTTTTTTAACTTATAAAACTATATTTACTGGGGAAAAAAAAAAAGCTTACAAACACTGTAATTCAAATTCACATGCTCTGGTCTGGTGCAGCTTGCTGCAATTTATTGGAAGGACAGCAGATGATAAATGTTTGCAGGAACTCAGCACAATATACGACCATGGTGGCAGAGCCAAAACCCCTGTGTGAAGCAAAGAATGCTACAGAGAACACAAGCTAATGCAGAAAGACCCCCACTTGTTGCAGAGCCCTGGTTTGTAGCCTGTGGTGTTTCTGGAGCTGTATGATCTTGATGGTCAAGAAAAAATACTGCAGAGTAAGGACAAGCTCACACTTACCTCAGCTCCAAGTTCTTCCAGGTACCTTAAGAAAAGTAGGGAAGCTGGCGGTAGAACACAGGCACAGCTGCTCTGGTCTTCAACGCTGCCAGGGAGGAGGGGGTGGGCACAAGAGCTCCAGGGGAATTCTTCTTTTTCTCAGCTTCCCTTGGTAGATGACAACAAGATGGAGTGTTCTTCAGGAAGGACAAAAAAAGGCAACCTATTTTGTTAATAATAAGGGTAATAACCTC